TACAAAGGAGAGAATCAGTATCTGTCTGGCATGACGCACTCCCAGCCAAACGTACAGTAATTATCAGCTGGATTGTAAAACATGGTGTTGTTGTATGACTCAAACTTTGGTGTAATTTTATGCTATCAGCACAATTGTGTCAGCTTGAGTAGCAACAGACACGACGGCCTGAATCTGACTTAATCTACAGTCTGATTAAAGCAGGTTTTGTTCTGTTCTTATTCCCTTTACTTCCTCTCCGAAGATATATATGTGCACACATAGACAACAAAAGACACTTGGATGCAAGACTTTTTTTCAAACGTCCTTCTGCACTGTCCTACAAAATACTGTACATGCAAACTCGATTATTAGACAAGAGTAAGACAATAAGTGACTGTTTTAACCTGGAAGCTTATCAGTCATGCAAATTATATTACACGAAAAACTGAGCAGGTATCCTAAACTGCACACGTGCTTGCAGCTTTATTAAAAGTGCCACATTTAGGAGGATCTACTGGCAGAAATGGAAAATAATATTGATAGGCAAGTTTTCATTAGTGCATAATAGTCTGAAAATAAGAGACCAAACACTGGCTCTAGATAGGGCCGTTCACTTATTTTGCATGTTTCATGGCCACTGTTGTTTCTCCCTCGCGCTTGGAAAGGGAGGATGAAGCAAGTGAAATCTGCAACTACAGCGCTAAATACCAATAAATCCTACACAGTGGACCTTTAAGTCAAATAGCTTTTTATGCATCTTTTAAACATGCCCTGTGGGGTTTTCTTGTCTCTATCCTGGAAAAGTGTTGAATTAATTTCTTTCCTCGTAAAACATTTGCAAAGATGATTCTTCTTAAAAGCTTGAAACCTGTGTTGTTTACATGGACGTTTGCTTGATTGCCCTCTTCTTCTTCTTCATCACTGCCTTTGCTCCATAGTGCTACTACTGGTTCAAAACTTGACAGCGAGGGTTTAAATCACATAATGATAAATATATTATTATTCTCTGAATGCATAATAATCTTAACTGGTACGTACACCAATGAGAACACTTACATTTAAAATCTCTATCATCCTACAAGCTTCTGAGTCTTAAAAGGAAAACTACAATAGAGTACGCTTACTCAGCGCTCCAGAAGGATGAATACTTTATGAGGTTTAATTAGATGAATAAGATGAACTGGAGTTGAGGACATTTGGAGAAAGATCCTCTGTTTGACTTGTCAGACTGGATGGACACTAAGACAGCAATGTTCGTACCCCAAGAGAGCCCCATTAATTTCTTCTTCCTTTCCAGAGTTAATTATTTCTCTGTTTTTCTCTGGAGGAAGTGAATGCATTCTGCAACTGCCAATCTCTGCTCAGCTACTGTACTGATGTTTCCCAGCCTACAAATACACATCTGCCTTTTCTCACCACGCTGGCCCTCTGCCAGCTCGGACACTGGCTCTCGAGCCCCGTAAGGTTGAATATGCAGATTGGTGCCTGGCTCTGTAAAATGCTCCATCCCGGTGCTGCGGACGGTTTTCCCCTGTCCCTGGAAGATGTGCTTGGGGACAGTGCCAGGGTCACTGGGCGCCGAGTGCCAACTGGCACACAGAACAAGTCAGCAAGCTCAGCATTTACATAACAATGACATCATCCCCTAGCACCACTTAGCACACTTTATGTTGCTACAGTAATAACTCACCAGAGACCGAGAAAATTAGGCTGCAGGTCTTATTTTGAATTATTAATATCAAAGAGGGTAAAATCACAAATATTATATTCTAAATGTGTTACCAGTGCATTATATTTGGATGCATGTCAGGTCTTAAACTTAACAAAACCGTAATCTTTATTTTAAGCCTTTATTAGCCCAACTATGGTTGGTAAATATGACAATATATAGAGATTTTAACATACTATTTATCACCTGCATGCTATCCCTTTAATATCTCTGGGTGTATTTGGCTACCATTGCTTTATAATAATACTGGATTTAAACAACGCTTACATCGTTGTGATGAAGTACCTAAATTTGTAGGGGGTCACAATACAATTACAGGGGTGAGAAATAATGAAAAATAAAATTCTGCAACACAACGTTCTCAGATTTGTTCTAATCTTTGTACTTTTCTTGTGAAATACGTTAGAGTTTTACCTCTAAAAATCACTCTTGAACTGCTATTTACTACATAAATAGAAGCTATGATGAGGAGTCAAACCCCTATAGTATATCAAGATTGGTTTTTATAAGTAAGCTTTTTATCCATATCACTTACTCCAGTGCCAGAGTTAACTGAACTTAAAGCTCAATGAGCAGTGACAGTGACACAAAAATGTGATGATCAACACTGATCAATCAATTTTAATGGCTTCACTTTCAGAAGCAAAAAATGCCTTGAAATAATCCACTACCAACTACCAGAGCCCCCCAACATGTTCCAGATTCACTGTGTGGCATTTGGTTTGTAATAACTTAATTAATTGTAAATTTGTTTTGGAATATGGAAATATGCATCATCAGCTGACATGATAAGGGCCTCGAAGTTGTTCCTGTGTCAGAATCTAGCACAACAATATTCCACAATGGTAAAGATCATGCACAAAGGGAGGAATGGGGGTTTCTGGACCCAGCATCTTATTATTGCAGGCGTTATTCTGCATATGACTGCATCAGATAAAAGTGTCAAAATCAGCACCCAAACAAGTTCATATATCAAGGTTTCAGGGAACAAACTATGTATATAATTATCTCCTTTATTCCCTCAAAGATGTCAAACAGCGTCTTATCGTATCTTATCTTCTTAAAGAAGTGGTGCTTTGTGTGGTTGCCTGCAACCAGCTGAATTCATGTCAAGGAATGAACCAAATTTCCAAAAGATTCTGACAGAAAACAGGACAGCAGCTTGTTAAACTGTCATTTCCATAAGATGTCCCTCCTCCTCCTCATCCTACTCCTCTTCCTTCTCCTGCTGCTGCTGCTGCTTGACCCATTTTGGATGAAATAAGCAAGAGGGAGGAGTTGGAGTGAGAGAAGGAAGAAGGGGAATGATTCAGCATGAGCAAGCAAACAGACCATTTCTCTGGTTGGTGGTCAAATAGATTCACTGTTGTTGAGCCACTGGCAGCTGCACAAGAACTGCTATTGTTTGCATTGTTGTAATGGCTGAGAGCTCATTTTCTCTTACAGACAGGAGCAGCCTAAGTCATTTTTACCACAGAGTATACCATAATATGACCCAATTGCTGAACTATATGGTCAGAGCAGACAGTATATATGCTGGACTTTGTCCTTTGAGTGGTTTTGCTGGATGTCAGCATGCTTGATCAAAGGTTTAGTCTCCTTTAAAGCACGCTGACAAAGAGTGTTAATTTATCAATTAGTAGAGGAAACAGAGACTATTGTGCTAACTGACACATTCAGGTGAAAGGCCACCTGTGGCCGCTGATTGGTCATGTGATGCTCCTCACATTAACCGTCCATGTGCTTCCTGATGTCCAACATCAACACAAACACTCCCCCTACTTTACATCTCACCTTCTCATCATCGGTAATCTGAGTTTAAATAAAGTATTGACATTTTTTTGTTGCTATGGATCCGAGGCAGTATATAATAATAGAGCTTACCCGCCAGTCCTCCGCCTCCATCCCCGTGGCCCTTCCGTTTCTGGAGGATGAAATACGGATTTGCTCTCTCGGTGATCCATAATGCGCCCGCCAGTAACACATCTTCGGGACTGACCCACATAATTCTCCTGGTTTTTTTTTTTAAGGGAACATTGAACACACAGGACTGACGACGGCGACCATCAAACGGGGTGTGTGAGTGCGTCCAGCAGAGATTATTAAATTATTAAAAACAACACCGATGGAGGCCCTGATATTCTCCTCCTCGACCCCTTCAAACACCGTCTACTATTGGACGTCCGCGCGAAAGTCAGACGCGCATGCAAGTGTTGCTATAATTAAACCTGCCAGGCACGGATCGGATCGGATCGGCCTGCAATATGGAGGTCCCAAACACCGAATTCCGTCTCCTCGTCCTGCAGCACCAAACCCGCTCTGTGTGCAGCCTTTAATATAGATGGGTTTCTTTGCGGGTTTTCGTAGAGCAGCCCTGGCTCGGGTTGCTGCCGCACAGCGCAGTGCCTGGATCAGTCTTTGTTGTGCATGCTCCGTGTGGGCAGGCAGGTGTCGGTAGCCGAGGTCCGCGGTTGTTGCTCGGCGGAGATAAAACCGCGTTGTAGCCGATCACAATGAACGTTAAATAGACTGTACGCGCTCCCCAGGATGCGGTGTCCGTCCGTGTGTGGCAGCGTGAAGACGACACTTCAACTGTAAAGCTGACACTTAACGCAGCAGTCTTCTTCTCTCCTCCTCCTCCTCCTCCTCCTCCGTTGTAGCGCCGCCGCTGCCGCACGTAAAATGAAAGCGAGCGCGTCACGGGCTGGCCACCGCGCGACGTCAGCGGGCTGGAGGTGGAGGCACGTGGAGAAAATAATGAATGAATTCAAAAACACGCTAAACTCAACTTTTCCAATTTCCTATTCTAACATCAGTCTGGACTTTTGTTGTCCCTAAATGTGATCTATTTTTATTTATTTTTTGTTTTGTGTGGACAGAGATGAGCTGATTGTTTGTTTGTTTGTTGATGAGCATATGTTCACTGTTTCCACTGATAATGTCACACACTATGGAGTTGTCAGTTACTGTATGTAAACATGGCAAGAGGAAACTCCTGAGATTAATCATGTAACATAAACATTTACTGAGTGACAGAAACTGGAAAAAACTGTTTGCTTACTGGGTGTGTTTTGCGTCAATGTATTGTCGTTTCCTAATTTGTCAGGTATTTAATTGACCTAATAAGACGTAAACATTCATCCTCAGTTATTTTATTCATATTTTTTAAAGAATGTTCTCTATACACTCCTATTCTAAAGACACAAACACCGTTTGTCAGGTTAAATTATTGGAAAATGTGAGTATTTCCCATTTTATGGAATGGTGCTGCCATAAAATGAATGGAGTCTTGGGTTTAAAGATTTTATTTATTTAGTGCAAACAGTTAATAATGTATATATATGACACTGTATACACCAGGACTCATACTGTTCGTTTTTTTTTTCTTTAGTGGTGCATATTACCAAACAATTCTGTAATGAATCTAATCACCACACATTTATTGCCAGATGGATGAAATAGGGATCGGGGCTGCTGCCCACTTTGCCTGGTTGTGTAATATATCATTATATTATTATACTAGATGAAAGTGATAATAGAAAAGATTAGGAGCATGTATGACTAAATACCAAACACTATGAGAGTATGACATAGAGAGAATAGAGAGTTTCGTTGGGTTTCCTGCACTTTTCAAAAACAGGATGCAGGACGAGGGGGAGCAGCACTTTATTCACAAGTTGACTCACATCAACCGAAACACGGCTTCAGGTGGTTGTTAACAAACTTTCCCCTCCTGTAAACCGCTTCAAGTCAACAGGCAGTGCACTTGCAGAACTCACTCCACCACAGCAGTTGTTATTAAAGATGAAGGGACAGAAATGAGTGATTTACAGTACCTCCACTAACTCCAGTATGATTTCCTCTCTGGGTTTGTACATGGCTAGATTGAACTGTAGGTGAGTGGGTGGGGAGAAGGGAGAAGGGAGGGCCCCTTTAATATTAAAGTTCTATTAATGTCCGCCTGTAGTATTAGTCAACATGTACATTAGTCAACAGAAAAAAACCTGTAGTGTCGAAGTGAATGCTTATAGATCAATAGGGTCTTTACAGTCAGACTGATACGTCCTTTTAATGGGAAATTCGTAAACTGGATTTTTTTCTGGTATGTTACTTACCAGCCTACGAAATACCATTCCCTCTCAAACCAGTAACATTGTGCCTCAGACCAACTGTTCCACTTCCTAGTTCCTGAATCACATCCCCATTCTTTATGAGCAGTTTTCAGCTCTTCCTTTAAAATAAAAAAGGGAAGAAGAACTTTGTTTTTCTTCTCAGGTCATTTAATGGACTTGCTAGGAAAAAAAAAAAAAAAGAAGACCCACAAAACCCAAGAAACCCCTTCAAATGATTAATAGGCTTACCAATATAATAAATGGAAGCCACAGAACTGTCTCATGGAGTAGGACATATAGAAGCTAAGGTTTAACTTACATGTACAATATATAGAGTAACAATGAGCAACTAGAGGGGCATACGCAGAGCCAGACCCCCTCCAAGGACAATAGTCCAGTATTCTGTGATATGCAAATGTTTTTTTTCTTTTTTCACAAAAGTGAAAATTTTCACGAAAGTGAAAAATAATTAGTGTGTCCGCCCTGTGATTTGGATCAAATGGGTTCTTCCTTGGGCCATGCTACACCCAAGTTTCATCAAAACCAAGCCAGTAGTTTTTCTGTAATCCTGCTGACACCAAAAACAAAACCTCCTTTTCTGAGCTAATAACAAGATGGACATTTCAGAACCGTCAGATTTCCAGAGATTCCTGGTAAGATACAGATTAAGATAAAAGCAGGATCATCTGGATCTCAGATATAATACTGTAATCCTTCAAATAAAAACTTTCCACATGCAGATACATAATGCACTGACTTACTTCCATCATTAGCCAGCTCAGAGAACTGTAATAACAAAGAACTGACCGTACATAAATATGTAATATTCAATAATGTAAAAGTCTCAAATTACTAATTTCAAAAGTAATTTCTCTACTCATTTTCATACTGTCAAAAGAAAGTAAACCTGTTCAGTGTCCCTTTTTCAAGGGGACTTCACCACTGTTGAGTTTCATCCACGCTTCAGTGGAAATGACCGCTGTGGCGTCACGGGAAAGCTTTTATATTTTATCAAATATTTCCCAACTAAAAAGGGATTCTTTTCACCAGGCTGGGTATGACTGTGTTCCGTATGTTCTCATGTCTCTCCATACACTTACTGTACATTATCATGGTTACGGTGGCGCTCTCCTTTGGCCAAATACAGAACTTCAGACTTTCATAATGATAATGGTTATGTTCCTGTCCATCCAACAGAGGGCAACATACTCTTCACTATCACCTTCCTTACAGTAGAAAGGCATGTGAAAACTCAAACATGACCATCCATGTGATTGTTGCACATGTCCCTCCAAAACCATGGGCATTAATGCATTGCTTCCACTCTTCTGGGGAGGCTCTCCACAACATTTTGGATCCTGTCTGGCTGCAGGGATTTGCACTGAGCTATTTCGAGCAGCTCTGTTAGATTATTTGATTTCAGTGTCGCTCATGGTTTGGGCTTTGCACACTCCCTTGCTGACAACTTCAAAGGCAGCTCCCTTGTAGAATGCCACACACTGGCCGTCCGTGCGTAGGTCTGGCTGAATCTGCTCCCACACCTTCCTCTTGGGGTTCAGCTCTTTGTCCGGTTCACCTGCAATCAACAAACCAGTTTGAAGCATTAGAAGAACCGTCTTTGTTATCCACTCATCCATCACAAATGCAGGCTAACTGGGTCCAGGAAATTGTAAACGTCCTTGCATAACCCCCGAGTGAGAACAGCAAAACCGTGTTGCCTCCCATCTCCTGGAAAGGCTTTCCACAAGATTATGAAAACTGGCAGCAAGGATTTGCTCCCATTCAGCCATAAGAATTAGGGTTTGGCAATAATGTCTGGCTCCAGTCAGCGTTCCCAGTCCACCCAAAAGGTGTTTGAGAGTGTTGGAGAAAGACAGTTTTTAAAATGGACCTCGCATTGTGCACATGTTTAAACAGGAAAGAGCTTTTTTTCCCCAAAAAACTTTTGCCACAAAGTTGGAAGCACACTGCGCCCTATACTATCACCATTGTTGTTTTCTGGCAACAGGAAGGTTCAACAAGATCATGCATTCTGTGGAAAATTCTTTTAGTAGGCTAAACTCAGTGACATTCATTCATTCACACATCAAGTCACTCACTTATATTATTATAATTAGAGCCTGACATATATGGTATGGGATCATTGAGACTGATACTGATTTTAGAGTGAGAAAAATCTCAGTGATGACCAATACAGCATCTGATATTGTAAATTTTTAAGCTTGAATAAAAAGTAGACCTTTTCTATGCGGATCTTCCACTGATTTTGCACAGATATAACTCTACAATAAGGTACTCAGAAGGCTGCTTTCTTAAACAACTAAGAATATTTGAGTTAAATATTCTTTAACATGATAAATAATTTAACATGTACATTGCCAACCATCCTGCTTCTTCTTGACATCACTGAGTTGCTTCTTCTACTCTATGTTGCTTGCCACAATATTGTATATCACAGCGCACTCTGCTGGATAAACTTTGCACCAGAATATTACCACAAGCACCGGGGGAAAAAAAGGTATCATATCGGCATATTGCATTACACCGATACAATACCAATATGTCTGGATTAAACCAATATCAGCCAACAGATATCGGTCAGGCTTGAATTATAGTCTTCGTAGTGTCTGATTGGTTGGAAATGGTTGTTGGATTTAAGTTTGATGCTAATGATTAATCTGTTTTAAAGTTGCAGTAATCAGGTCATGGTACCTGGGAAGCCCTGGAAAGTGACTCTGTCCCCTGGTACTGCTCCACTTGGAGGATCAAGGATTTCAACCCTGTCTGGTGAGCTGGCACACATGACCATAGCCTGGGACACCACTCCTCTCATCTTTGCTGGTTTTAGGTTACAAAGCAGGACTGCCAAGCGATTCTGTATCTGCATGGGGGACAGAAGATTAAATGTTTACAGCCCATATTCCCTGAACAATAGACAACATGTTATAACCCAGTTTACATGAGGTAAACCAGAAACAACTAGAACTGATATTCATATGGTTAGCCTACACCAATTCCAATCCCTTAATTCAAAACTACTGTCTGAGGTTTATGGGTTGTGTGTCTCATGAATAAGAGACTTCTGTGGCTTACAAAAATGTAAAAGACCACAGGCAGCTTGAGCTTGAGAAGAGCTGAGAAGTGAAATACAACATTTCATGTAATATGTTCCAGATATTTGAAAATAATGCCAATAATAATCAATAATAATCACATTGGTTGAGCTACCCTTTTTAATGGACCTTGCTTTGTGCTGGGGGTGTGTGTGTGTGTGTGTGTGTGTGTGTGTGTGTGATGTTGAAACAGGAAAGGGCCTGGCTGCTGCTGGCGTATTGTCTTAGATGTAGACAGGAAATCTTAATGTTACAGTATATAATAACTGCCATTGTATGCTGTAAAAACTAAAAAGGGGCCCAAAACCATGCAAAACAGACTAAGACCAAAAGTAGTATTATGTGGAAGTATTATGTGGACTATCAGCACTCCAACACCATCAACAGTTTAAAGAAACTAATCTCTAATATTTGTCTTTGTCCATGGAAATGTTGCCTCTTCCAAATGTTTTTCTGAGGTTTTACAGCTTCTGGCAAAGTCAGACAGTGTTTTGCACAGATGATCTCAGCAAGCATGTGTTTTGATTTAAATGACACACTATGTGCCCACATACTTTTGGTTGTGTTGGGGCTGTGTTTTTGTGGTTTGGAGTAAGCAATTTAAAAAAAAAGGAGATAAACCATACAAATGTTGTTTTATGGCCTGCATCCAAATTTGAGGCATCAGTTTAGGGAAGTGCTGTTATTGTTTCAACATGACAATTCCTTGAAAACAAAGAGCCTGCCTGCACACAGCCCTGACTTCAGTCCCACTGAATCCTTTTAGGACGGACTGGAACGCCGACTGTGAGCCTCGTCTTTCCAAACCAGTGTCTGATCTTGCTAATGCTTCTGTGGCTGAATGGGAGCAAAATCCCTGCAGCCAGGTTCCACAATCCTGTCGAAAGCTTCCCCCCCCCAAAAAAGGGAGGCTGTTAGAGCGAGTGAGTGAGTGTAATGTTCAGGTGTCCACATATGTTTGGCCATGTCAGCCATAAAGGTTGAATATTGTTGGGTTTGAGCTGTTAGTGTAGAGACCTTGGCTTCTGGAAAATTGTTAGAAAATGAAAGTGAAATGAAAATGAAGTTGAAGCTGTAATAAATCCATATAAAAAACCCCATGATAGTCAAGAAATTCCATAACTACACATTCATTATATAAGAGTAATACTGCACCTGGTCAACCGGTATGTGCCTAGCTAGCTCGCTGACCACTGTCCTGGGAGCAGCCTCTCCAACATCAACCTGCTGCACATAAACACCGTCGGTCTCTGGAAGCTGCCGAGTTGCGATTATACGTCCAACGCGCAGGTCCAGTCGAGACACATCCACTTTGGCTTCATCTTCATCTGCCTGCTTCGTCTCTGCTTTCCCCCCTCCTGGCGTCAAAGAAATAGATTATAAATACAGCCGTATTAATGTTTATTAGATTTTCAATAATATACAGATTGGTTAATAACTTGAAAGATAAACAAGCATTATGCAACTTTTCATAAGCTTCTTCCAGTGATGATCCACAGAGGATTTGGTAGCAATCGGACCTACGGTTTAGGAGAAGATGTCAAAAATTCTAAATGACAGAAAATCTAGTTTCCGCCCCGTCAGGACTTGAACCCCTAATAATCGTGTAAACAAACTCAAGATGGATTCTCTCCCTCCCTCCCTCCCTTTCCTGTCTGTCTGTCTCAAGGGATCCCTGTCAAATTAAAAGGCATAACACCCCCACAATGCAACTAAATGTAGTTGAGATTATACAAAATGTTCAAAAACGCTACAATACAAAAATATTCATTCAAAAATACAATAGACAATGTGCTTCCAACTTTCGACATGACAGCAAAGCCAATTCCATGAAGAAATGGGTTTCTCAGTTTATTGTGGAAGAGCTTGACTGAACTGCACAGAGCCCTGACCTCAACTCTGGCTAACATTGGGATGAACTCGAACGCAGACTGTGAGCCAGATCTTATCGCCAAAAATCAGTACCTGACCCCACTAATGCGCTTGTGACTAAATGGGAGAAAATCCCTGCTCCCGAGTTCCAAAACCCTGTGGAAAAGCCTTCAAGGAGAGTGGAGGCAGAATATCAATACAATGCTTATGGAATGAGGCCCAAAGTGAAAGAAATGTTTGTTTTTCCTAGTTTCCCTATTTTCTCCCACAAGAGCCCAAAGTTTAGATTCAAATGCAAATCGACAGACTCTGACACCCACACCAGCTATGACATTTTTACAAATGCCAAGCAACAAGGCTGGATTAACAACCAGGCAATGTCCCAAGTTCACTGCATATCAGTGGTTTCTAGTAATTTAATCAACTGCAGGTTTGTTAAGGAATTAGCACCACAAAAAGAACAACATCAACAAAGACAGGACTGCATTAATTGAGCAGCTAGAAACAAGAAATGTTTGACATTTGCGCTTAAAAAGGTGACAAAAAAACTTTACATAAAAGTTGTGTTTAATTTAATTACCACAAACTAACAGAGCAACCAGGTATTAAAAAGGTATTAAAGGGTCAATAAGATGTTTTGCAGACTGTTTAATCCAGCCAAGCCAGGCAACATCCAAACAAAGTCTCCATGAAATGAACAGGATTGGGAAGTAATCCACTACAGTTACAGAATTTACCTTGAATTTCCTTCGGGATAAATAAAGTATCTATCTATCTATCTAAAAATTTATCATATCGCCAGATTCTTGCCAATACATACGGCCTAATCTGATAACAACTACATTTAGAAAAAAATGGGATTTTTAGCAGGATTACAATTTTAAAAATGAATCTTTTCTTTGTGTAGAAGACACATTTCTGAAAATAAAAATCTTTGTTTCTATTTTCTGTTCTAAGGTTACATTTTCCTTATGGAATACACTTACATCCATACTTCTTGATATTTTTCTCATGTCTTCCGCATATTTAATATTGAGGTAATCCAAAAATAAAAGAAAGTAATCAAGTAATTACTTTTAATAGTGATACCTGCATTAGGTTACCGACTACACTTTTTAAAAAGGTAATTAGTAATTATATCAGATTACATTTTAAAAGTTACCCCTTCCAAAACCTTGGAGTTTCTCTAGAGTGCATAATGTGATTTTTAAAAATGTTTGCTTGAGCTTTGGGTCAGTTATAAACCTGTTAATGCTCCTGTGGTTGAATGGGAGCAAATCTCTGCAGCTGGGTCCCAAAAACTCCTGAGGAAACAAGAGCAGCTGGAGGGAGAGAGCGCACAGTCACAATGCTCTGCAGTCACATATAGGTGTAACGCTGCCAAAAGTATGTGGACAGGGGCGAGTGTTGAACCTCTCATTCCCGACCCTCCTGAACTCACCTACGGGCTTGTTGTAAGTGGATACTCGGCCACGGAAGCCCATTTCGCGGAGCTCTCGGCGGACGGTCCTGGAGCTCACGCTGGCCCCGGAGGCGGTCTGAAACTCGGTGGTGAGAGCTTCAACCGAGGGCAAACAATTTCCCAGCGCCACTTTCTCCAGCACTTGACGGTCCTCCTCTTTGAGCTTGTGCGGTCGGCCGCTCCGGGGCAGAGCCGTCGTTATTCCTCCGCGTTTCCACTTCAAAATCACCGCGCTCACGGTGGACCGAGGCAGGTTCAGCAGGGCGGAAATCTCCCGGACAGACTTTTTACACATGTGGCATCCGACGACAGTACCGCGCTGAAAGTCACTGAGCTCCTCACGACGACCCATCTTATCGCAGGGGTTTGGAGACTGCATCTCGCACTGATTTCTCACCTCCGCCTCCTTTTCTTCCCTCTCCCTTCTGCTGTGGTTTTAAATGCCACTGGCCTCATCACTGCCCTCCACAGGATTAGATTAGAAAAAAAGAGAATTGGTTCTCAACCTTTTTCCTTAAGGGACCCGTTTTTATCATTGAGAAAACTGACTTATTCACTGACTAAGTGACCTATTTCTTAATGGACATTTCATATCAAAACTGTATGAACCCAAACAATGAACTCAGTAACAGCAATAAGTTTGTGTAAAACGAGATATTTGGATGAATTTTGAGCAGATTATTTCCTGTTTAGGGAACTTTTTATACAATCTGTCTGAATTGTGTATTTTTTCATTTTATTTTAACAGTCTTTCATAATTAATAGCAGGGGCGTTTCAAGAGGCTGGTGCCACCCATTAAATCTGATGGGCCACCCCTAGTGCCACCCCACTATAATTATCCTCTTCCATTACACACTAACTCACTGAGGCTGTAGTGGGCTCCTTTTTAAAGCTAGAAAGATCGTATGAAACTAGATGGACTAACGCATCCATTGGTACCAACCATGTCATGCCAGATAAAGGAGCTAAGTAATGCGCCAAAGTTAGGCTAAATTTTGGTGAAAAACTGGCATGACCAATTTCAAAGTGATCCCTTGACTTACCTCAAGATATCTGAATGAAAATGGGTTCTATGGGTAACAACTACTACTACCTACTTTATGCTAATCTCAGGCAGTTTTTGGGCAAAAAAACATTCAGTTTTTTGCATGTGGTACCTACGTGTTATTTTTGCCTAGTGTATTTGAATATTTCAGCAGACTCGGTCCCTAAACAACAATATTGGAATTGCATAAATTGGGAAAGAATATAAAGTTGGGACATATACTTTCTGTATAAGTCAGTGCCCCTCTTGTGCCACCCCATTTTAAAAAGTCTGGAAACACTCCTGATTTTTCTGAGGCTTTCTTTTTTTTGACAGATTTAGTGTTTTTTTTGTCCCTGGAGCTTGGTCATTGTTAGATTAGACAATTTACTTTTTTCACATTCACTTTTCCTCCTCCTCCTTCTCCTCTTTCTGTCTTAGTTTCAAGGGTTTCAAACGATCTGAAAGCTGCATGCTGCCACCTACTGTTACAACATGACTTTATGTTGTGCTTTTCTACTGTACGTACAGTATTAAACTGGTTTCCAGACTATATTTAAACTATATGTATTTAGTGTCACAGTCAGGAAACACTTCACATTCTTTCCATGCAAAAACCCTTCATTGCCTGCAGGAAAAATAAACCCTGACCTATTCACAGAGAGCTGAAAGCATAGATCATAACAACCAGGGGTGGATCTAGAGAAATATGCATCGGGTGGCCAGAGGGTTGCATGTTATGTTATTATTATTATAATGGGCTTTATTCTGGTTCCCTCAGTTCCACTCAAACACCACAAGCTCTGATAGTGTTCATTACCAGTGTTCTTTATGTAGCAAAACACTCTTTATTGAGCTTATGTAAAACAACAAAGTTGAAAAAACCTGATTCAAATTTATTATAACTCACAATCATTGACATTCCTACACGTGCATCATGGTACAAAAAAAAGGACAGACACTGCTAATCATATTTAGAATTCTTTTATATAACAAAATAGCAATGCTGTTATTTCTGCTGGGTATAGTGTACAATATATTGATATCCCCCCCCCCAATCACCCCACATATACACAAGAGTACAGATAGAAGATCACAACATTATACAATAAGCAACAACTTAATCATGTGCCACGTTCAACACTGTAGCCCTCTTTCTCAAAAGCTGTACATAAAAAAAGACTTTCTCAAGTCGTTCAGCATAGCCGCTCCCCATCCACTGGAGGGTTAAAGTGCAATAGAGGAAAATTTACATTAACAGAAGAAAACACGTGACAAGGTGACAATGAAATACACAAAAGCTTTGATTAACTACCGATAACAAAACTACTGTATGTTGGGCCATGCTTTATTTTACAGGTCTATAATTTCTGAATAAATGTTGAATACTCAACATCATTTGGTGCTAATTATAAGGAAATATAGAGAGCATTCAATTGATGCATTCACTTCAATTAAATCCATTTAACCTGGAGAGGCTTTTAGTCCGCTAATTACTAGGTGTTATACTGTGACAATATTTATTGGTGGATGTGTTTTGTGCTTATTTAATATGCAGTGTATATGACTTTTACAAGATTGTGTTTTATTCCATTTTTTTTTTTTTTTTACATCTAGCCAAGGACTCCGGCTCATTTACGTTTTTCAGTTGATAAATGACAGCAGTCCCTGTCAGATAAACAAATAAAAATACATTTATAATAAATGAATACATATGGAGAATAAAGTTATTAACAATGTATGAAGGTTTATGAATATTTAGTTTGAGCTTTTCTTTTAAAAACATTTCTACTTTCCCCAAAATTAGCACCAAATTACAAAGTTCCTTCCAGGATCCTTGTTGGAAATGATTAGGAAATTACAGACACATAAAATAAAGTGTTACTTAATGTTGCAGGTACAATTAGGAACAACAACCCTACTTCATAAGTACACTGAATGCCATTACATGGAGTACACTAAGGTCTTTTGTGTCTTAAAATTATTTTGAATTCTATTTATTCCTACAAGAGTTGTTATTGAAACACTGTAAACAGACAAAACTGAAAGATGTCCTTATAGCTTATTATTATATTAATAATATATATATTTTATCATTATTATAGTTGCTCCGTGAAAAGAAGGCCTTAATCCAGCTTTAGACAAACTCGCTCTCTCAGGCAGTATACAACTAGAATCAAGAGATCTGGTACGAAAACGGATGTGCTTTGCTTTATCTTGTTGCTACGCCGACCAAACAAATGGTCAGAAAGAGAGTTTTGTTATGTTTTTGTGCTCATGATTGAAGACTCATGAATTCAAAGCGTGGGCCGGTAAGAACAAACAAGAAAGACGAGGAGAGATATTGATGTTTTTGGGCGTTTCTGTCTCATGTATTGTGCTGTCTCAATATCCATGTGAGTTGATGTATTATACAGGAGGCTTAAAAAGGTCCAGAATAGACTGACTGAGACTTAAACATCTGTATCTACAGTGTGCTGGCAAGAATCACAATCATCCTTTACTTTCATATCCACAATGCCAAAGATGTATAGCTAGAAGTAAACCAGGCTTTTTATCAAACCAACTGTTACCACGTGTATTGTCTAATAGATAGTGTATGAAAATGTACATTCATGAGTGCTTCCTACCACACGTCAGTCATGCTGAAATTTTAGGTTACATGTAGAACTGCTCAGTATGTGCTAATGACAGTTAAATATAAAGTGAGGTAATGTGAAAACTGTCAAGCTTTTTCCCAACTGCAGGCATTATTTCACAGAGCCAAAATATTCTTACTTTACTATGGTTATCTCTAGAAAGTGTTGTCTTAAGCCATTACAATGAAGAACATACAGTCTCACAAAACGCTTAAAGAAACTTAACATGTTTTCTAAAACCAACGCTTTCATGAAACGCCAAAACATTTACCCCTACATTCAATGATCCTTCAATTATTGACCCAAACTGGGATGTGTGCACATGTGTGTGTTATATAACAGAGTCCCAGGACATGGAAACTATGACTGGAAGTGAAAAAACCCCAGTTAAATTCCACTGGCCCCATCGACACAGTCAGCGGGTCTGTGCTTCATCAGTGTGCAAGTCTACAGGAATGTGAGAGGACACAGATCCAGTCGAGTATTGGATCCTACTGACCTTGCTCAATATGAAATGACTGAAAAACGTATTATAAGGTGATTGACTGGACTACAACAGAACACAAGAAGGGGAAAAGTAGAATAATTAATTCTGCTACAAACTGTAAGAGATGATGAATGCAGGTTAACAGTCAGCATCGTCATGGGAGTCTAAGAGTACGTTCACACTAAGCTGGCTAAAGCTGGTCTGTCCTCTCACCTTGAAAACTGAGCTGTAACTGCAACTGTGACAACTGTGATGGCAATAAACTCCAAATAAAATGCTAATCAAAATGAGAGGATTTCCTATATGACTCAAATTTGCAGCTTAACTCCAAGTTACACCTCTACATCCAATTTACAGTTGAAAGCTATTTAAAAACTTGTGTGGTCACCTTCTTTATTCTTGGGCTTTTACGTGGGGTTAATGTTAAGCCACCAGAGGGCGTTGTACCCTTGAACATATATATGAAAAAATTATATAAAGGGCTCTTTTCAACTCATCAGAGTAACTGCCAGTCGAACCCATTTCTGAGCACATGTTGGCTGTGATGAGGTTTGTCGTTTGCTGACAGAGGATGAAGAATAGGCAATGTTGTTGTGTTTTTGTGTGGAGATCTTTGTGAAAACCACTTACCCCGACAACACTAGGCTGCATACGTGTCATTTTCTAAAATAAGCCAGCTTAGTGTGGATGTAGTCCAAGCAAAACTTTTCACTGATTCCATAGTTGTAAACATTTTCATGCTCTAAGCTTTTCATGCCTTAAAAAAATCCCATGCTTGGAGCTTCAAATTCCTCAAAGAACATCCAGACCATTTTAAATTCAGCTTATTTGTCAGGCAAGGCATAGCTCCTTCATTGTCCACCAAAAACAGTCTCTCTCCCTCTTTCAACTGGCGTAAGCCTCGTGTTATTACTTCAGTTTCATGAACACATTCACTGTCATTCCAGTCTGTCTGACAGCCAAGGGAATCAGTGTGCATGAAATACAACTACTGTGTTTAAAGTGCTACTGATAATCTTGGCACAAAGACTTGTTGACTTATTTATATTGGCTGGCTTGACAAGTGTAGGAAGTTTGTCTCCAGGATGTGCACACTGCCAGTATTTGGTAGTGACAACTGCTATTGCCAGCTGTATTTAGCAGCAGTGTTAACACAGATATGGACATTTCCCTCCTGACCAACAGCAGGGAGCGATCACCAGCGCCATGTGTTGTGATAACTTGTAAATCAGCAGCAGTTTCAGTAGGGCAGTGGGTGACATCACTTCAAACTGCTTGTGGCAAGCTACGATTGTCAAATGTGAGGACAGAAATATCTCCCTTGTGTTTGGTTACTTCCTCTCAACAACAGGAATATTCAGTTGGTAAAAGTTACAAACGAAGGTCTCACAAAATTAGAAAATCTGAAATTACAGCATAATGTGTGCATACATATTCCAACTCCTTAAATATCACAGGACCACATGAACTTAAAGAAACTTCAAGTTTTTCAAGGGATAATAACATGTACCCATGTCTGAAGTTGAAAAAATTGCTGGTGGGAATTCACACCAACTGTTAGGGACAGAGAACAAATTGCTGATATAGGCTCTCTTACGTGCTATATATCCATCACATCAATAAAACTTACTTCTGGAATATGTTGGCAGTGATCTCGTACCAAGAAATCAAACAATCTGCACTTTTTCTTAATAATAATTAATGCTTTAATCTGGCATTAAGGAGGCCCTGCTGCTCCTGTGCTCATATTGTGTCCAGCAGCAGGTTTAGGTTGCCAGAGTGAGGAGAAACTAATTCAGCCTTCTCAGTACTGTGAAGAGCTACAACATTGCATTTCAGATGCTAGGTTTAAGGATGTGAAAAGATTATATGGACAAAAACTGGGTCACCACAATGTGAGAGCTGTGATTGGCTGTCTGGTCACCATGGCAGTCAAACCAACAAAATGGTGAGGTGTGACTGCTAGAAAACGAGCAAGCAACATGTCTACAGATGCAGTAAAGACAGAACTGGATGTTTTTTGTGCTGCTATGTTGTATTGCTCAATTGCCCATCTTCTGAGAAGTCACTTCCTCCAGGGGCCAAAGACGTGGCGAGTATCTAGGGGCCCCCGGTCACTCGGTCCTGCTCTCGTCCTGGTGAATCATGCTTTTTTTTCTCAGCTTCGATTGGCTCAGGATTTCGCCACCTCACATTCCTGCTCTGTGGACACGTCGACCTCAGAAATGCCTACCTCCACGCCCGTCATGATAGAAGTGTCCGAATCGCTGCTGAGTGGAGGCTGGTGCTCACCTGTGCGGGGGGGGGACACAACAGGGAGGTAATTTATTACAGATCACTGTGGGATGGAGTTATATACCAGGGACAATATTCTATTGTCAAGTCCTTTAAAGAAGGTTGATTTCTTTGGGTTTATGTCATTGTGACTTAGACCTGCACTAACACTATTTTTTTTTTACCACTTGGGGGCAGTGTGGAAACAAGTTGTAAACACAACATTGACATATCATCACCTGAAGCTTTCACTCCACTAAAGAGACAAAATATTATATAAAACCAACATAAATGCCAAATTTCCATCATGTTTTTGTTTGTTCGAGTGCAACTGGCCATTAGCTGTTTATCTAGACTCATAATAATCACAAAGTCATAGTGAATGGAAATGTGGATATATTTGCATTTTCTGGAATCTCGTTTAAAATTCGGATGGAAACAGCAGCAGATTTTTCATCCTGCCCTCTAGTGTGGCATTTCATTATAGCTATAAATACTTTTGCCTTCAGATGTGGTCAGACAACACGGACAATACAAACTAGTTTGTTTTGAATATTCGGACACCTTTAGCCTGCCAGAATGTTAGCTTTGACTGGACTTTTTTTTTTTTTACATGAAATGCAAACTGTTGATCCCCACCTCCCCATCTCTTACTAAGAAGGATTTTATGCAGATCATGCAGTCTATGAAAGGGACCCTAGGAGGAATTACTACAAAGACAAATAACTGGAACAACAGACAGAAGCCAAAAAGTCCCACATTTCACCAACAAATCAGGTCTTTTTCTGGGACCCTGATTCCAACACACACCGACCCAGTTAATGACTCTGGAAAGAGTGATTGGGGCATTACCATTAACAACAGCGTTCATTATTCTGGCTAGGGACGCAACACAATCTGCGCTCCATCACTGCCAACCCAAAGCAGCAGAAACCCTGACAGATCGGCTTGTTCATCTCATGCTAACTGCCTGTCAGTGACATCGTCTTCGTTAGCTCAATAGTGCTGTGACATGTGACAAATCACATCTAATTTACATGCTAATTAGTCTTGAGGAGAAAACCTGCTTGTGGCAACTGCACAAAAGTAAAAATTATTCTTTGTGCGAGGTCTTCTTTTGAGAAGAGTCCCCTTTAGGCAAATTAGAAAGTACTACATTACTAACATTCAGTATTTAGGAGAACAAATACTATGCTTACAATTTTACCTCTCAGTTGTGCCATCACATAAAAAATGAAACCACTCCCATGGAAGCAGAATGGAGCACAACATGCACATGATGTTGTAGCTAAAACAAATTACTAGGTCTGAAAAATCTTATTTTCTCTGTTAACTGTTTAGTCTTTAATTGTCAAAAAAGACTCTTAAAATTGCTTAGACCCTTCAAAAGTCTTCAAGATGCTTGTTTTAACCAATTAACAATCCAAACGTTTATAGTAATATATTACATATCGGTATATATAGTGCATAAAAATATGTGTGAAATAACTTGCATTGTTCCCCAAAAGTTTTCATCTATCTTGCCTTCATCAGCGTTTGTGTCTGATGTTTCTGGTTTCTGCAGAAGTTAGTTTTAATTAGTCACGTGACTTATAAATACAAGGTTTTCAAAACAGAACTACAATCATTTCTCAAAATTGTATTTACAAAATACATCCTCCATCCACCCATACAATAGGTGCTGGGACTCAAAACATTTAAAACTCTGGCTTCATTCCTGTTCTGGGGTGATGTTTTGGCTTCAGATGCTTAATGGCTGCAAAAACACATGTATGAGCATGTGCATGCACTCACTATAAGGGGCTGATAACTAGCAGATGTTGCAGTTGTAAACGTTTCAGTGTTTGCATAAGGTGCTTAAAGATATGTATAACATTTCCACATTAAAATGTCTATAAATACTAGACCTATGTTTGTATATTTTGTTGAGTTATGTACCTGCTTTATCCCAAATGTTTTTTGTTGCTGGTTTGATGTGAGAGACCCTCTAGCAGCAAAAATGACATATTGTATGTTTAAATGTACAACATACTTTAACAGCTATGTGAGTGTATGTGGGTTAGGTTGTGACTTCCTGAAAAGGGAACACTATTCTTACCCTCTTGTATTGCACAAGAGGACCTGAATGGGGAACAATGACCAGGTGGCTGCTGGCCTCATTTAGACCTCAGAATAAACCATTCAACCCTCTAATGACAAAACCGACAAAAGGGGTGTAAAACCAGAACGAGCACACTGTTACAAAAGCTGGTTTCCTCTGTGGGATGGAGGACAGAAAATCTTGTTTCATCTGCAGAATTTTCCAATGCCCCAAACTATTTTCAAGCACAGAACACACGGAGCAGGTGGTGACAACTTTGTGTGGATTCAAATTGAATGTCCCAACTTTCCAGCCTAGCTATATGTCAGAAAGTCAGTTCATTAACTCTGTGTTAGAAATGCGTACTCACTGCTGGCAATGATGCGGCTCTCCTCTCCTGTCTGAGGTTCTGTCTCTGCGTTAGGGTGGAGCTGCTGAAGGATCATTGCTCTTCCAGCTGGATCCAGAACCACCGAGCTCTCGTTAACTGTGATTTCACTCGCTCCACTGATGGGGTTGGTGGGTGGACCCCCGACAGATGTCTCATAGTCTGGAGGAATATCGTCTGAACAGTCCGCGTTGAGCTGGAACATGCAAGATGTCTTTAAAAGGCACTCTCATGCATAGAATGAGGATTCATTACTTTAATGTTTTGCACTTTAGATTTAGATTAGTCAGTCAATAAAATGTTCTTAAAACTAAAATATGTATATATGTAAAAGGACCTTACTGGGATTCCCAACGCTTTGAGGATGTTCATTTTACACATGGGACACGTACGGTGGTCTTGCAGCCATGGGTCTACACAGTGCTTATGGAAGATGTGTCTGACCAAATAAGAAGGCAGTGCACAAATAAAACATGTGAAACTACAATGCAGTGAAATATCATGTTAAATAACACCTAGTTTTTAAGCTACAGTATGTACAACAAATATTAAGCACACGACCATTACCTGCATGGTAATATCCTTACAACATCATTGGGTTTATAACCTTCAATGCAAACTGCACAGTTGTCAAAGTCTGATTCAGTCTCCTAAAACACAGAACACAGGCAAGAAAGAAATAGAAGATATGCAAAATGACAGACAAATGAATTCTAAACTATAGCTATATAGCAAAAAAGTACAGTATAATTCAAATAAGGACAAAGACATTTATTTTAAATATACTTTAAACTTACTTTTTAGCTAAACATGCTTTAAAGTTTATGTGAAAGGGAACATCATTTACCTTATCTCCTTTCTTAATGGTGCGTACTTGCAGCTTACTGATGGCCTTTTTGGCAGCATCTCCCAAACGTCTCTGTAGACATAAAAAAAAAACTTTATCACAGACACCAGCAGGTTTTTAATAGTGGACAAAAAAAGAGTCAGTGACTCAGCAGTATGCAGGTATCACATTGGGTATTTGTCAGTTTAACATCCTCATATTTGTTTTACTGGAAATGAAAAGAGGAGAGCTGACATCGCCTACTGTGTGTTAATCAAACCGCAGTTAGAAAAGCAGAAAAATGACTACAAATGACAATGTACACCAGTTGCTTTTCATACAATGTGACATAAGAGATCATTAGATTAAAAGTATCTAACTTAAACTCTTGGTGGTTTTGAAAATGCTGCCAGGATGGGAGAAGCATGTTAATCTTTTACACAGGCAGCAATAAATTTGACACATTTATTACTATATTTATTTATTTTCCAGTTTCTCTGCATAAAAGAAAATGATGCTTGTTTAATAATAAAAAAAAACCCTAGCAAATATTGGAAGAACAGGTGGCGACAGATTGACAGAATTGACAGGCATGTGCAATAGTTATCAAACACACCTACATGCTTTAACGGCTTTACCTGACTGGGCTGCCTTGGGAATAAACTGAGAGCAGATTTGTTCAATATGGCTGAATTCAACACAAATCAACATAATTCAATGTAGAAAACGCAAACAATGGTTGTCATGGCACTGGCTCCTATCATAACAGGCACAATGACTGTCATTACAGACGTCACAAGAACGTCAGAGGCAGATATTCATAGAGTATTTGCACTGTTTGTTTAAACGGCCAGAAAGCTGAGTTGGTTGATGGTTCACTGGTTTGCCGCGTCTTCTCGGGCAGCTGTCATAATAACATTACAATTACAATTAGAGCTGCTAGTTGGGGCCTCTCCTTATAGCCTTACAGAGCCATCATCAGATGGAAAAATGCATGGGCCAATGAGACCACAGCACTACAGCACCGTTAGTATCCCTTTTAGACAGATACACATCAGCTTGTAGAGTTATACTCTGATTGGACAAGGAGCACACAGTCATACCTGGTTGCGGTCTCGTGCATTAGCGTAGCGGAACCTCTGGATATAGTAGAAGACGAGCCAGGCGAGGGAGATGATCATGAGAACGATGAAGGAGATGGATACAAACACCACCGACGTTCTGCTCACGTACTTCTGCAGGTTGCGGGTTCCTATGGTGATGTGCATCGTGACCGCAACGCGCTGCTCCAGCAAAGCCATAATCTCACGACCTTTAGGCTCTGGGATCATTATGGCCACAACATCGCCGGTACCTGCAGACACACACATACAACGCAGCAAGCGGCAGGTTAGACGTTTGGTGAATGAATCAAGGACATAGCTAAGTCACGTCCGCAGTATTGTGTCTGAGAATTCAAACCTTAATTGCATTGCAATCCTGGGACATTGGGAAATTATAACAGGCATTTTTCATTATTCTCTGACATTTTAAAGGTAAAAAGATCAATAAATTAATCCAAAAAAATTATATAATGCAAATTATCATTAACTGCTGCCTTAATGATGTCAAAATGTCATGACAAGAGGAAAAAAATTAATTAAAACCATATCAAATTTTGTTTTATTGGTTGGTAATTATGCAAAACAAGAGAAAGGCAATTAAGTAAGTAGACTGGCCGGCATCTAACCCTGGAATTTAAAGAATTATGGTTTAAAGCAGAGCACGGGTTAAAACTCAGGTCCTGGGAGCTTAGACAGGACAGTACAACTAAAGCCTCACTCTCTATGTAAGAGGCTTCCTGCAAGCAACCTTCTGTTGCTTTGCATGTTGTGCACAATGATGGCTTCTGCATTACAGAGTCACCAAGCATTTTTCAACTCCTACACCCGAAATGTCCAGGAGGGACACCGTGTTTACAGAATAGTATTTATTAATATTTTGGGGGGCTTTTTATGCCTTTATTTTGATAGGACAGGTAAAGATAGACATGAAAGAAAGAAGAGATGGTGGGCAACAGGTTGGAATTGAAACAGGGCCATGATACTGTGCGCCCACAGAATAGGATTTCTATGGGTTTCCATGATAGAAAACACTAGCTCCTAGCATTTGCATTAACTACTTCTCACCCTCTCAGCTAATGCCTCTCAACACTTCAGTCTCCTACGGTGATAGATAAGCTTTGCCTTCTGCCTCTAGAGTTAACAGACATCCAGTTCTTTATAGAAATGTTATTGCATGTTCTATATATACATATACATACATTCATGTATGTGTGTGTGTTGTTTTTTGTTCTGTAAATCAATCTGTTATTCTGCTATTCTATTATTTCAGCTCTGACGTACACACGCTTATCACTTAAGTACTGGTCCAAAAAAATCCAGTATCTCTCAGACTCTCTTCTGTATAGTTTATTTGAAGTTGTTTGTGATGAGGGCCTGACACATGGGACATGATGCTTAAATGACTCAGTAGTTTCTAGACACAATAAGGGAATAACAAAGCTCTTCTCTCAGCTGTACGGTGGCAGGTTGATGATTCCAGGAACTGCATCAACAGCCTTAGAAACTGTTACATCATATTCCTTCTGCCGCCTGTTTATGGCTGCATGGAGTCACAGTGGCTCCCCGTAGTGCTCCACTCCTTCTATCAGTCACCATAAACAGTGGCTTTACTCAACCTGCCATCACCAACAGCACCCGCTGTGCTGCCTGCCAGTTAGATTGCTGTTACAAATCCTCATGCTCTGCACTGATCTGCACGGAGCTATTTTGATATTATATTCTGTTGCAGCGGTACTGAAAGACTGAAATAAAATATGGTGTTTTTCAGAGGAGTTTAAGGCTTTACATACCACAGATATGTCACATTTTCCGGATGTAGCTGCAATGCATTATTGCTGCCATGCTTACTAATCCCTTTATGTAACAGGTTTGTTGTTAAATCTCCACAGCTGCTACATTTTATATGACCAGGGTTGAGAAATAAGACCAAAAAAAAAGTCTTTGAAACTATATTATTTCATGCATATGCAAGAATCAACACAAGTATCTATGAGTCTTGGTTAAAAGCTTAAATTATTGAAGGAACAGAATATGATTGTTTATTATTTTATTTTTTTTCAGAAGAAGTACATTCATTTTAAACAATTAAACCAATGCTTAAATTAACAATTTGTTAAGGGTATGATACAAAACACTTAATGTGTACCATCCTCTGCCAAAACCTACCTAAATCCCTACCCACCCACACCTACACAGAAATTCACTTGGCAATATCTCCACTGTAAACACAAAGGTTTATTCTTGTATTACGATGGCTGCTCCCTCAAAATGAGTTTATGTATGTTAGACCTTCTAAAGCAAACGCTGCTACAATGACAGAGAAAACAAAAGCTTGTGTTTGGACAGCAAACAGATGGTAATACACTGCTGAACCATAACGTCTATTCAGACTCTCACAAGCTGACACACTTCTTTATTTAAGTTTCTTCCTACAGAGACTGTTTTTCTCATTCATTGTTTTCATTTTGAGAATTTCTAAAATAAATGTTTTAAAATAGGGGAAATATATTATCTGTCTTCCCTAATAATACAAGTTAATTCTCAAGACCCTCTCACAACATAAGTGTATGCATGTTCGCTGTTTTGTAAACCTCTTTTTTTTAATGTGTGTACAGATACACACACTCCTGTTCTGGTTTTATATGGCCATATGGTGTGCAGGGCAAATCACTGTGATGTAACAACTGCCTTTGTAAACACAAGATAAATCGCGTTATCTCTTGTCAAAAGGCAAATGATGTTCAGACTCTGGAGAGTTTGAAAAACATGCCTGTATATGGCACGCTTCAGCCTCATAGCCAGCAGAAATAAAGAAAGGAATAACCAGGCATGTAAGATTTCCCTAAGCCTTGACTCTTATCTCTGTCTTCTGTTCGCTGTGACGCAGTCAGAGCGGACAAAAATAGCTGCTTCTAAAACAGGAGAGCAATGTCTGAGACTGAGGCTGAACTTGTGAAAAGATGTGGAATAAGAAATAAAGGAATAAATACTGAATGGGTTAAGTTAGTGGACACCACCTTGTTCATTTTATTAGCAGGCTTCTGGTCTGCCGCTGAGTGGATAACACTGAAGCACAGATTACTACAGAATTAACTGGTACACTTTTACCAGTTACACAAAGTAGGCTACACCGTGGCTTAATGCAAGTATAAACTGAAGAGTCGCTGACTGAAGGAACAGTTTGACATTTTGGGAAACTCGTTTATTTATTTTCATGGCAAGAGTTAAATAAGAAGGTTGTTGCCAGAGATAGGGTTGGGCAGTTGGATGATATATCAGCTTTTTGGCCCAGTTTTGCTAATTTTATGGTCTGCCTCCAAAGAATAGTAGCCGCTGTTCAGCGACGCAATACACACACTGAAGAATGAGTGAGAGGAAAAACAGCTGTAGAGCCAGAATATTTTCACATTGAACTCAGTTTTAGATGGTGTTTGACACCAGAGTTGGTGATTGCCAGAACAGTGGAAAGACTAATGAAGATAGTTTGGTGAGTTGCATTTGTTTCTTTCGAGTTTGAATAAAGTCTGTTTTGAAATGAGTTAGTTTGGTGAAAGAGAGAAACTTGAATTTCCACAACGGTTGCCGGTTGTTGGACTGACGGTGGCCAGACGTATAAATTTTAACATATCGCACCACCGTCATCTCATATCTGTGTGACAAAATGAAACTGAAGCAGCAGTTGGGTAGCATAGCTTAGCATAAAGACTGGAAACAAGGGGAAACAGCTAGCCTGGTTCTGTCTAATGTATAACATTAATTAACATGTTACATCTATGATTTATATACACACAAAAAACTGAAGTGTAAAAATGACACACTCTGGTTTTACGAGTTGATAAACCTTCAGTATCTGACCTGGCTTTATGATCCAGCATGACTCTGACACCACTCAGCCTTAAATGATGAAGACAGGCCATGAGAGGTTTCTAGCAACTGTGGATTTTACAGCCCGGCTGTGTTGGCTCTGGACAGGAAAGTGCTCCATTCTTTCTTTGGCAGCCTCACATTCAGTCAAACCCATTAAGACCTGTTCCTTTGTCACTGTACTCTCGGTTACCTTCCTCTTCTCTACAAGCTTTGTCATTACATCTCTCCTGGCTGCCGTTTCTGTCTCCTAAAGTATCTCAGTTTATATTTATGTCATGGTTCAAAGCAGGTCAAGTCTTTAAAATAGCCTGGTGCCTTTCATGTTTTGCTGCAGGTAACCTAGTGATGTGTACTGGACACTACTCCAAGAACGGAGGAGGAACAGAGGATGTTAATGATCAAATACTGTACAACAGACATGCTGGCAGACCCCTTACTCGAGTAAATATAGCAGGAGATTAATGGAAAATATTGTATTATAAGTGAAAGGCTTGCAAAAAGGTACAGAGGTATTAGCAGCAAACTGCATTTCAACCTGCGTAACTAGCCTTTTTTAACCATATTGGGGCCACACAACACTGACCTACATCATATTGTACATATTATCACCTCATGTTCTTGAGCTAAACATGTAAGCAAACAGCTTCCTTTTTACACAGGTAGAATACCAGGAAAAACATTAGCATTCATGCAAAGTTGTGCATCTGGCCACCTGATGAATGCCAAGTCCGCCATTCACCCTCTCTTAAGCTTTTCTTTGGTCTCCACTAACTCCTGAGGGAAATATCTGGCTCTTAAGCTGCTAAATCCTCCACTACGACCAACTGCTAGTCGCTAACATAGTCTGTCTGCTGTTTGGTGCTGAGCAGAGAGGGTTAATAATAGAAAGTATTTGCTGAAAACAGGTGTGTGCGGTAGGCGGAAACACAATTTCCGAGAGTGGCAAGAGTGAACCAAAACTTTTGCTGGCCTTGGAACAGTGAACAGCTTTGTAGAGCTGACTGCAACAACAGACTCTGGTGATGATGATTCTCTGTGAGTTCACAACTACTAGCAACACCTTTGACACGCGAAAAACGCCATCTAAAGCCAGTGTTTGGTTTGTACCTTCTGGCCTACTGTAGAAACATGATGGTTCAACATGGCAGACTCCATGGAAAGATTACAACGGCTGATTCTAAGATAACAAAAACACATCAATTCCTATTTTCAGGTGATTATACCTATGAATATTATATTCCATTTCTACCAATAGATCCTCCTAAATGTTACTCACTGGACTTATGAGCTGTTTGAAGAGAATTGTTTATGCTTTAACCGTCTGTCAGGGCGATTCTCCGAGACAAAACACTGAATTTGAGAAGAAGCTTTAAGGGCTTTACATAGAATTTAAATTATTTGCTTATTATGAAAAATGCCTGTGATACTTTGGTGGACCTTTTGGTTAAAAACATCTCACAGTCACTTGACCATTATGTCATCGGGTGTTTTACACTCTTTGTTTGAACATCTGTTTCTGTACAGATCCTTTTGTCAAACAGCCTTCATGCATTGTGCTGCTGTCTGGCACAGGGAGGGTGGCCGGAGTCAATTTTCAATGGAAATACAAGTCAAGTGTAAAACACAGTTCTGCTCACAGCTACTGTAGAAAGCCTGAAAGTCACATTTCATTTTAATAATAATAATAATAATAATAATAATAATAATAAAGTGTGCTTAAAATAGAATTAAGGGATGACATCAAGAGTTAAACTAAAACAAAAAGACTCTTTTACATGCTTTTTACATGCTTTAGGATAACTGTAGATCTATTACCAAACTAGAAAAAACAATAAATGTACTGTATCTATGCATGATAGCCAACCAACTATATATTAAATAAGTAGAGAGTAGCAATATAAGCAAGGAGACCACTTTACAAAGCAGAACCGGTATCTGAGCCCCTGGAGGTGTGTGCTTCTCTGATGAGGAGCACATAAACAATACACTGATTAGAGTTGGACTTCCAGGATCATTAAACCAATGAGGCGTCATTCAGAGTGTGTGGTTGTTTTTGTTTGATACAGTGGTGGCAGACGCTGGGGGGTAGTGTGTGTAAATTATGGCCAGAAATGTAAAGAATAACAAAGATATTGATATTGCGTTCATGAGAACAAGACGGAGGTCACACTGATCTCGACCCTTAGACTACCAAGATCTAATCTGTTTGGGGCACCAGGATAGCTCTGGGGTTGCTGAGCCTTACTGCAGCAACCATGAGTTCATCAACCTGTGGTCCTTTGTCATCCCCTCTCTCTTTTCCCTGCTTCCCCGTCGGCTGTCACTATCAATTAAAGGCAAAAAAAAGCCCAAAAATAAAGTCCATCCTTGAGTCCAAGTGGACAATAGTGTGTATTTTGAAGACATTCCCTCAAGGTGTTCCTGAGATACTGCATTCACAATCAGACGGACAATGTTCAGAGTGACTTTATAAGAAAAGCAACCTGAAACAAGAGCAGTGAGGGAGACAAAAATAGGATTTTAAATGTGAGGGTGACATGTCTCCCCTATCCCCAGTGGAAATGACCCCCTCAGCCATCGGCACTGCGCATCCTTTTACCTCAACAGCCCCTAGAATTCAATCTCCCCAGTGACATTATGAGCCTTCAAGTTCAACTAAACTTGGTTTTTGTCTAAGATTCCTAAAACATGACCACAGTTGTGTTCGTGACCTGCGCCTCTTACTTACTGGTCACAACAACAAAACACTGTCACCAACAGGTAGCGAACAAACGACTCTGCCTCCGACAAACAGGGAAAGGGAATGTGACACCTTAGGAACCTGATAGGTGAATCTGAGGTCCGTGTTTTCAGCACATTTTGTATGGATTATGTCAAAAGGTGTGTTGTTTACACAAGGTTTATTTACACATTTGAGTTCTTAAATATGTGTTCTGTGTATTGACACAGATCAGCTTTTGTGTTTGGGTTTTCGGTGTTTGATGTTCTTCTTAAGCCCACAGGTGAAACTGACAATGTGGCACCAATCGATATGTGTCTGTGGCCCCTAAATATGTTTTAGCAATGTCAAGTACCAAAAGCTAGCATCAAACGTGTCAGATTTGTGATCTTCTCCACTTATTCTTCAATTAGATAGCTCCTGATTGTCATCAAAAGTTTAGACAGTCTGGATGTCTGTGAAAAGACCAAAAGGTAACAGAGGGAAACATGTTCATATCACTCAAAGTACACTTGGACTCAGGTGTTACTAATATCAGACCTTTTAAATAATACAATCCAGGTGTTATAACATCATATCACAACATAACCTTCACACGTTGCACCCACATTTGAGAAACAGCTTCAGGAAGACCTACAGCCAGTCACAGGCAGTGGATCAGTGCATCTGCTTGGGAACTCAGTGCACTTTTCTACTTTACCAAGACTAGTTGTCTTGATTATTTAGCTGATTGCAGAACAGCTCTTGAACTTCAAGCAAAGAGGGTTGAAAACCATTAATCTTGGCCAGAGGTGCCCAACACTTAAGAAGCAACTGATTCTTATCCTCTCAGGCCTCCATCACACCACCGAGCACACTGTCAGAACTCCTCTTTTCAGGTGGACAGGTTGTCTCTTACCTTGATGGGGCATCGTTATGGTGTCGTTGGCACTGGGGGAGCCCACGTTGTAGATCACAACCGCAGAGGCGTTGTAGTTGGCAACGTTACGGATTTTCTCTCGGTATGTACAGTTCCCCGCAGCCACCAACGCCACCCAGGCGGTGTTGTGAGCCACAGGAGGGAACCTGATGTTGGGGTCGCACGCCTGTCTGTCCTGCAGGAGGGACGGCACCAGGACCGGACCCCCGGCTTCTTTCTTGGGCGAGTGCTCGCCATACCGACCGCACTCGGTTTTCTCCGTCTTGACCTCCGAAGTGACGGGGTCCAGGTAGGTGATGTTGACAAAAGCAGTGTACCACTCCTCTTTCTCCGCAACGGTGAAGTCCAGGCAGAGCAAGTGGACGAAACAAAACGACAGCAGCCACGTCGAGAGAGCCAGACTGCGGCAAGCTCGGATGAGGGACGGTGCCATTGTGCGGTGGGTTTTTTTTTTTTAAGGGGATGGGTGACGAGCTCAGGGTCTCCTCGCACCACGTCCCTCTTTTTCCCTCCCCCCTTTTTTTGTTTTGTTTTACAGGTTAAAGCATTAACCGTGCATAGCAAGCCAGAGCCGGACACCAGCCCCTCATAGACTCCCTGGGTGTCCTAGGAGTTTTGCGAGCTACGTGCGGGAGTCCACTACACACCACCACCTGCAGGAAAAGACGACGCTGTAAAGTGTTGTTGTTCCCCGTCAGCTGTTTGCCGTCCTCGCTCGGGATTGGCTCGCCGCTCGTTAGCACGTGACCTGGGGCGTGGACAAGGTGCGTCTGAGGCCCCGTGGCAATGTGGAGAAACTCAAAACAGTCATAAATCATGTGAAGCTCTGCCAATGAAAACATGCTTATACATTTGGCATTAACCGCAATGAACGCGGTTTGCACTGTTATTATTATTATTATTAGTATTATTATTATGTAATTAAATGCTGACGGAGGCGTGTGTTGTTTAGTTTGTTTTATTGTTATTATGTTGTTGATGTTAATATGTGGTGATTGATTTAGTATGGCTGCTACCTTGGCCAGGTCTTTCTTGTAAAATAGATTTTTTACAATTCAGGCTACACCATTCTTACAGTGTTTAATTAAATACATCAAAGTAAAAAAAAATAAAAAAAAATAATAAATAATCTAGTAAATTAATTATTATATTGTGTTATTTAAATTATAAATTCTAAAAAATTAAATTGCAAAATTAATTTTAAGAATCGTGATCTATTATCTATAACAGATTCACTATTAGATGTTTGTGAAGTGAAGTTGTTTTCATTGTCTATAAAATAACAATATTAGAGCTTTTCACAAAGCTGCTTGCCTCATGTGTACAAAGTGTACTGTGTCATGTTTGTCTATATAATTTGTTTTAATGCACAGTGATATAATAGGTTGCTTTGCCAAGTATAAAGAAACAATATTAAATTACTGATAAATAAACATTGGAAAATTATTCATTAACTATTAACCAGCTCATTAGTGAACAGACTACACATGATTGTGAAGTTGTAAAGCAGACACAACTGATATTTAAATAGTTTTGACTCACACTGGGGAGACCTAGAAGTATAATTTATTGTATTTAGGGAACACGGAACAAAAGTAGGAACAAAAAACAAACAGTATGTTTTCAGCCCGGACCGTTTTTCCGACCGGACCTAGAAGAAGTTGGAGTGCTGATCATTTCGGTAAGATTTTTCTTTCTTTTTTCTGCAACTCGTTCAATAAATGACACTTAGATGTAACTACCAGAAAAACTAAACATCACAGAGTATCTACATATAATATAACATCAACGTAAAGTTAATTCAATGTAATTTAATGTAGTTTAATGTAATTTAATGTGGCTGGTAGATTCTCTTCACTCTCGCTGGTAGTCGAGTGAGTAGCAGGCCAGATGTGAACATTAACCAGCTGTTATTGCCTCATAATGCGCCAAATAAGTTAACCATCTTAAATGAAGCAGCTAACCGTTACAACCGCACCTAATGGTCCGTGTCTGTTGCAGGTCAGACAACCGGCCGTTATCTCCGTGGTTACCGGCCCCGTTGAACCGGAAAAATGCCCAAGAAGAAAACCGGTGCCCGGAAAAAGGCTGAGAGTCGAAAGGAGCGAGAGAAACAGAGTCGAGCCAACCGGGAACACATCCAAGTGGCCAAACACCCCTGCAACTTTAACATGGTGTGTAGATAGCTTTTGAAGTCGATGCTTAAAGTATATAACGTAGTAAATACTCTCTTACTGTTTTTATTTATTTATTTTATTTTTGTCTTTTGTTTTGTAGGAATGTGACAAATGTCAGAGGTAAGTGACTGTACTGCTTTATGTTTCTGTAATTTATTCAAGTATAGCTAAATACTGGTGGAATCTAACTACATTTACTCAAATGTGGACATTTTATGCCATTATTGTATATTTTATCCACTACATTTAGTTACTAGTTACTTTGCAGATTCAGATTATTCTACCAAAATTTGATTAAACTAATAAAATATTATATATTATGGATTAAGCCACCTGGCAGTATATGAATGATTTGAAATTAGCCTCACCTTTACCAGCTGTAACATAAGTGAGTATTTTTACGCTGTGGTATTGCTACTTTTCCTTAAATTAAAGATCTAAGTACGTAGAATATCACTGGTTAACCAGTTAACAAACCTATTTCTCTCCTTGTAATGTCACCTGGTAGAAAACAGAAGAACAGAGCTTTCTGCTACTTCTGTAACTCAGTGCAGAAGCTGCCTGTCTGCGCTCAGTGTGGTGAGTAAACTGCAGTGAAATGTTTGTATGTCATTAGATGAACTTTATCATTTTAAATAATATGAACAATGAAAAACAGGCATCCAGAGCCTGTTTATGGCTTTTAGACCCGAACCCGTTTATCATAAATACATAAATGGTTAAAAACATATCATGAATATATACATTAATTTCAAGCTAAATATAAAACAAGTAAAACAGCTGATCACTTTGAACACAGTTTTTAACAAGGGTTTCTCAAACAGAAGTTAATAGTGCATTTGTTTATTTTCAGCCACAGATTTGGTGCCCTAGTAAGTCTTTACAGCAGCAGGATGGTGTACATTGGATCAACTCATGTCTCAGTGCAGCAGTCTGGCTCGTTAATGTATTTTTGAACAACAGTGGAGGTCCTTAGCAAAGAGGGATAAGATGCAGGCTGCACAGACATTACATGTTGAATCAGTTAATTGTTGGTTTTGGTCTTTTCGTGGGATTTGTGACAATAAAATGGTCTAGAATATCACCAGACTTGTCCTTTTTTAAAAAAGGAATGGTCAAATTTGTTGCAGCAGAGGTCGAGATATCCTAACTTTTAATCCCTAGAAATAAGCCTTATTATGCCTCCTGACCTAGTCTTTTGTTAGACCCTCCCTGACAGGAACTGTAAATCCCCATATCTTTCAGTCTCTACATCTCCAGTTTGGCAGTCTTTCCATTATGAATTTGAAGCCCAAGCTGATAACCTCAAACTTAAGTAGGCTTTTTCAGAGCCACAGGACACATTATATCACTGTTTTCACAGGCTGAGTAGTATTAACTTTAACAGGTGAGCTGATCCGTATGTGTAAAGCCAGTGGAGTACACCTCTGAACCCACCATGTGTAAAAGTTTATAGTAATTATTCTACTTTGGCGCCCCCAATTGGTGGTATCGTAAAACATACTTTGGCAGACAGCAGTGCGTGACAATTATGTGCTCCAACAACTTTTTTCATCATAATAATGTGAGAGAAACAGGTTGTGACACTTTATTAAACTATGAAATATTTAATGCTTGTGTTGTCAGGCAAAACCAAGTGCATGAAGTCATCAGATTGTGTGATCAAACATCCTGGGATCCACAGCACTGGAATGGCCATGGTGGTAAGTTGTCAACATTTCTCAACTGATACAATCACGCAGCATGAATGCCTGTATGTGCGGTGACACATCCGTACTTACAAATCCTAATGAGGACATTTGGTTGTAGCAACATAAAAAGCGGATACAGTACACGATTCTTATTGTTTGTTAATAATGTGTTCTGTTATTTTAGTTCAGGCCAGCCAGTGTTTGCAAATCAGCTTTTATTCATTAAGTATGTTTTTATCGTGATATTTCTGTGTTCTGTGCAGAAATTTCTTTAATATGAAACCAGGGCACCCGGTTAGCTCAGTTGGTACAGCTGCTTGCTACAGCGGCCCAGGGTTCGAGTCTATCTTCGGCTGTCTCTATCGATTAAAGGCAATAAAAAGCCCCAAAAAAACCAACTTTAGTTGGAAACCAACTTTTCTTACATGAGACAAAAAAAATGACCCTGACTTTGAGGGAGCAAACTACTGGTCCTACAGTATTATATAGATTTGGTAAGCAGTGGCACAGGATACATGGAGATAACATCGGAGAAATGAAACTGTGCAAGTAATAAAATGTAAAACACTAATGGGCACTAATGTCTATAATAACGTGCATAAAATTATCATCTCATTATCAGTCTTTGTCACTGTCACAGTTGTAAACTTTGTGCAAGTGTTGCAACAGGATATAACAATTATGCCCATAATAATGACGACCAGAGATGAGGAAGAAACACATAGTCCAAGTAGTATCAGATAATGCTGTAATAGTGTACCAGAATAATGACAGAAATGACGTACAGCGTGCAAGTGATGAATGAGCCCAATGCTCAGTGATCTGTGAGCACTACTAAGCATGTAGCAGGTTTTAAAATAACCTGCAATACAGTACTTTATTTTTTGTTCAAGGTCAGTTTATTTGTTTTTGTACAGTAAGTTTCAGAAAAAGATCTTCATGGCAAATATTTGATTTTCTTTTTTTATGTTGTAATTTTTCTTCCACAAGGGCGCAGTGTGTGACTTCTGTGAAGCTTGGGTGTGCCACGGCAGGAAATGTCTTAGCACTCATTCCTGCGTGTGTCCTCTGACTGATGCAGACTGCATTGAGTGTGACCGCAGTGTGTGGGATCATGGTAAGACTCTGCCGTTTGTTTGAATTTCACCCAGTCACAGTAGTGTCACATTAAAGATCACCACTGACTGTCTCAACTTCCTGATTAGGAGGGCGAATCTTCCGCTGTTCCTTTTGTCAAAATTTCTTGTGTGAGGATGATCAGTTTGAACACCAGGCCAGCTGCCAAGTCCTTCAGGCAGAAACATATAAATGTGAGTCATTTGGTTTTCCTTTCACAATGTCCCTTTTGTGGTTAATGGGGGGAAAGTAAAGTGTATCGGAACTGTTCCAGAGAACAATATCCAGAGGGTATGTGTGCCAAAGAGCAAACGTGATTTATGTTTTGCCTTTTCTCACGTTCCATTTTAGGTGTTTCCTGTAATAGACTGGGACAACACTCCTGCCTGCGCTGTAAGGTGAGGGGAACATCTATCCTCACTTCAGAAAACATAGTGGAGGGAGTGTACATGTTTATCGGCTCCTTAAGAACCACTAGACCTTTTTCTGTAAAGCAAAAATATGGTATCACATCTCCTGACTGATAAGAAAGAGCCAAATTGAATCCTCCCTCTTATTTGCTTTTGCTTTTAGTTTACAACACAACAGGAAATATTCCCGGTATGCAGGAAATATGTAATTGAAAAAATAGAAAATGTTCTACTAAACGGCAGCAAGAGAGCGCCCCAACCAGATAAAACTTGATGTTGCCAAATAAGGCCAGAGCTGCTGCCCACAGAACATTTCCCCCCCTCCGTCACTGGGTTAGAGCAGTTGGTTACCGATATGCAATGTTATCTAATTGCAGCTTTATCTATAAAGGGCAGTGGTTGAAAATGACTCGGCAGCTTGTAAATAGTATAAGTTGGTTTAAAGCACATTTCATTACATATACAAACTCAATGTGCTTTACATAAAATAAAATATACAACAAAAAGTAACATGTAGAGAATAATACAATAAATAAAATACAAGAAAGTGCTGCAGGCTACAGACTGCCAAATGAAATTGGCAATCAGAATCAGAAACACTTTATTGATCTCGTGGGGGAAATATGTTCGTTACAGTTCTACTCACACATCGTTAAAGAATAGTACTTATACATAAGATCTAACACAGAATTGAAATGAATGTATAGGTATATACATAAAGTAAAAATAGAAAATAGAAATATAATTGTGGTGTTGCAGAAGTTATAGATAATTACAAAGAATCACATAATAATCAAGTGAATTGCACGTTGACCCGGATATTGCACCTTAATCGACTTACTGCACATTACCAGCACCAGTTTAATGACTAGTGACTCAGAGTTTTGACACTCTGAGGGAGGAGTTGAAGAGTTTGATGGCCACAGGCAGGAATTACTTCCTGTGCCGCTCTGTGATGCATCTAGGCGGAATGAGTCTTGCACTGAATGTACTTTTGTGTTTGCCCAAACCACCCACCCACACAACAGATAAACACAAACATGCAGTATAATTACAAAAGAAGCACACACTTTCAAGTCAGGTTTCAAAGGATAATGCCTCACATGCCCATATGTACATTCCATAAAGTTAGTGAGGGTGTAATCATTCCTCCTGTCCATCCTGGCTGAGATGCATCCCTTTGTTCACACACAACAACAATGTGGCTCAAATTCAGCTCAACTTTAGCATGCTTTTTTGCATAAAATGAGGACTTTTCTTCTTTTGCCTAAAAGTCTATAGATCATTCATAAATTACATAAATGATTCCATCATTTCCCATCAGGAACAAAATGAAAACTATATTGAGTCCTAAAGCTCTAATCTGCAATGTTGCAAAACGCCCATGTCAACAGGTTCAGGTTCACTAGAGAGCTGCCAAAAATAGACAGTGAAAAGTATATATGAATAGTCATAGTGACAATTGTACCAGCAACACATACACCTTTTCACTACAGTGGCAGATGAGAAGCTCTATACCTGAGGCAGAAAAGGAAGACACAATGATGAATGAACTTGTCTAAACAAGCCTGAACAGTCATTAGATTTCATTTTCATATTTTCAAATCAGAAATTAAACTATATATCAAGATAATGCGTGTGCTGTTAATATTTCCATGTGATGATTTCACCATTGTCCTCTCAGGCCTGTTACTGTGATGACCATGCCAAGAGTAAGGTCTTCAAACAGGAGAAAGGTAAAGCTCCACCCTGCCCCAAGTGCGGTCACGAAACCCAGGAGACCAAAGACCTCAGCATGTCCAGTGAGTCTAACGCACAAACCTTTGAACTACTTAACATTGTTATTTCCAGTAAATCTGCCATTTGGAGGAAATTGCTAAATCATGATTTTGAAAAACGAAACAAAAAGAGTGAAGACGTTTTTACATTATATTTCCCATAAAAACTCAGTTGCTTGTCACAAATGTGTCTCTCTTTTATAGGTTTTGGTTCCTCATTTCACCTTTTTATTCAACATTTACTCACAATTTATTTTGCTATTGACAGATTTATTTTTTCTACTCGTGAACAAAAAGAGACCAAATGGCACTTAAACCATGTGTTCTTTGATCCTGTGTGACTGCTTCACATACAACATTGCAGTATTATAGGATAACCTAATGTGATGAAATTGATTTATTCATCTTCAAGAATGAGATTTCTGCAGTGTTATCACAGACCTGACCTCTCCAATTCAGCTGCTGCCATTTGACGGTTATCTCTTTGTGCTTGTTGGCATTAGAGAAGTGAGACACTTTGTGTCAGCTCAAAATGAGTCGAGCAAAATCTCTGTTCTGCTTGAAGAGCTTGGTTGAAAATCTACTCATATCTGTTGTGACTCACAAAAAGCTTTACAATATTTATGCATTATTATAATGTGGTATACCAGAGTTACAGTTTGAATAAGTGTTAAAAGATCATTTAAATGCATTTTACACTGTGATACTGCATTAAATCCAAGTAATGTACCATAGATCTCATCATCCAGATCAGTAATATGTTCTCTTATGTATAACTAATTTATTGGCGCACGAGCAGCCATTCAAATCACAGAGCTATTCATTTGCTAGGAAACATCTGTTTCCTAAAAAAATAAAGACTGATCTGAAAAAAAAAAACAGAAGCCAATTTATTTAACATTTACTGTTTTTCAAAAATCCTCAAAGACTCTTCAGATCAAATGGATGAAAAAAACTTCCTTCCATGGTGGATGTTTTGTTGTTTTTTTAGGAAAACAAATGCTTTGTGACTCAGATGCTATAGTAATAATACATGAGAGGCACTAACTGGGTCTATCCCAAAATTGACTTTTTAATACTTACTGAAATCATTTTAAACGTTAATTACAAGAACATGATTTTCTAAAATTTGCAGAAACACAATTGATCTCACCTGACTTTTCTTTTGTCACTTCACCATCCCAGTGAGTGAAACCTGAGCTAATGTCACAACTGTGTTCTCTGCAGCTCGCACGCTGAAGTTCGGCCGCCAGGCCGGAGCTGATGACGACGACGATGATTACGGAGCGTCGGGTTACGATTCCTACTGGAAGAACTTAGCATCTGGAGGCGGAGACCAACAGGACGACTATGGAGAGGAGGATGATGATGATGATGAGGACGATGACGAGGAGGACGATGACGAGGAGGAGGAAGATGATGACGAAGAGGAGGAAGAAGAAGAAGGTGGAGAGGAAAAGGTCGCTGATTCTGTGGCTGTTCTTAAACTGGACGAGACTGCCTAAACTGAGACAGAGACTAAAGAAACCTGTACAGTCCCAACATGATATTACACGTCAGGAATTAATAAAGACATACAGAGGAAGAATTAGGAAGAGTATAGTTGGTATAACTGGGGCTGGTTATCAACACTAGTGCTGTTACAACACACAGACTCGTTACCTAACTAGAAGCGTCAGAATTAAAATATTAATTTTGATTTTAATCAGAAACTGACTTATAAGAACATAAGTAAACCGTTATGAATTATGAATCTGACCTGACAGTCACTGCCAACATGTATTCCTTGATGGTTTTTGATAATAAATGGACATATTTCAGTTGGTACTGAAAAGGTATATAACATTCTATATCCAGTCCTAGAGACATCTTGTTTTCTGCTTTTGTTGTGACATTCAGGGCCGGATTGATCCACCAGGAGCATATAGTCCATTTACATTTTGACACAAACAAGTAACAGAGTTGCGAAGTGGGAGCAGCTGCTAACTCCTGAAGTGTTTTTTTTTACAACAATAAATTTGCATTTCAAAGTTTTGTTTGAATGATTTTCTCAATGTTCTTCAACATAGAAACACAGGAATCATAATATTGTAACAATGCTCTATAGGTTGCTGTTATGATAATCAGTTTTAATTATTTCAACTTGGATATGGATATCGTGTTATCAGCCACTGTAGCTGCAGGGAGCAAGACAGTCAGGGATGCAAATCAGAGCTGCAGCTTGCAGAACAAAAGCCATTTTTTTCCTGCATGCTGCAGCTCTGATTTGTTTCAAGGTCAAACGATTAGATAATTCTTACAGAAATGCACATTGGGGGTCATAGTTAACTTCTCTACCTGTGTGTGTGTTTGTTTGTTTTTATGGTTACAGTCTTGTCCCCAGTCATATTTTCTAATGTAGTTGGTCATCCTTTGTATTGAACTGATGACGCATCCGGGAGAGTTTCATGACCATCTGAGCCTTGGAGGTGTCGGTCATCTTAACACTATGTAAACTACATGAACAGAAAATTAACATGACTTTTACTTCTGGAGCCTTGGTTGTCTGAAATAACCTGTCCCACTTTGCAACTCAATAATCCCTTTTGGCCCTCATATTGAATATGGTATCAGCCCTGGTTACAGCCTGAAATAAACTTTAGGATCATGTCTTTACAGTGTAATATATGATAAACTGCCGGTTACTGTGGTAATTCACAAAGCTTTCCAAACCTCTTAACATATTGGCCCTTGATCATTGTAATCATCTGCACTTGTTGAGACATGTTTGTGTATAATATGCCAATAAATCATAAAAAAGAAACACGTCTGACTGAGCATTTTGAAATTAAAAGATGGTTTTGCTTGATATGACTAAATGACCAATTATAATCTCCAATTAAAAAAAAAACAAAAAAACAGTCCTAACACGTACTGATGTGTAAGTGACGACTCAGAGGAGGAGTGAACTTAAAATATGACGATAGCAGCAGGGCGTGTGTGAAATCTTTGGAGCGACATCTGGATCACGCTCGCTCCACTTAAGTGTTAATGAAACTGGACTCGGATCAATGAGACAAAGGAGCTTTATCATAACACATGAAATGCAAAAATGTGATCTTTGCCTGTTGCTCCGCTGGGTAGGAGAACAACCGCTGCCGTTACGCAGATGACAGCCCTTATGTCGGCGCTCCCGGTGATCCTCGCCCAGCCCACATGCCCCGGAGACCAGCGAGCGGTGAGCTTACTTTTCTGTGTGTGAGTGTGTGTGTGTGCGTGTGAGGTGTAACTAACCTGTAGCCTAACTACCACTTCAGGTTTGGGCTTGTAGGAGTAGGCCTTCCAGTTTTCAATTTAGGAAGTCAGGAAGGTGGCAAAGTTCACACCGGCAGGACATGAATAGTGCGTAATGATCGGAGGTGTGTCAATTTGGCGATCCACGTGGGCCTCGCGGGAGATATTTAATCTGCTGTCGGAGATCCGTGCACCATTATGGTTATTTGTTCAAAAACCAAACAAACACAACACCAGTACTGTCAGGGGTTCACTTTCACTTTCGGTTGACTGTCGCCAAGGGCGTGATTTGAATCAACAAGCTCCTCCTGTTGTCACTGCAGACGGCAAAATATCTGCAAACATCCGCTTAAAGTGTGGGATAGTGAAGACATTTGACTGCAGTTTATTCACGATGACCCAACCGTGTGTTAGCTTTTGTAATAACGCAGTGAAGGACAGTAAACATTCACAACAAGTAAAAGTATTATCAGCAAAATGCGGTTAAAATATCATTAACTATGCAGAATGACCTCTTTTTTTAGGACAATATTACAAATATTGTTCAGTGGTGGAAGAAGTATTCAGAAAATGTTACTTAAGTAAAACTTCTGAGGATTGTTAATGTCTTATTCATCCACTATATTTGTACAGTCATGCTGATGTTTACACTATTTAGTATGGTGTCATGCTCTCTGCCTTGAGATGTGTACACCTTCTCCTATTCTACCTGTTGTCTGTCCTATGGTGGCACTCATTTTCCTCCCTGGGGAATGAATAAAGTATTTTGAGCAGCAAAATGTAATGTAGAGTATCAAAAGTAAAAGAAGTCATGCAGAAACACTCTTTTCAGCCTTTAATATTATTGTTAATACATTGCATTATTGGATATTATTACTTAATGTTGTCATTTGTCAATAGCTATCCAATAACACTTCACACTAGTGGTCAGTTGATATCAGTTGGTTTTTCAGTGGCCGATATTAGTCGATATTTTATAGAGCAGGGCAGCTGATGGCTGATATCAAAAGAAAAGTCATGTTAAATTCTATTGTGTAGGAAATTCAGGTTTTACAGCAGGTTGCATGAGCGTTATAGTAAAGGGCTCGAAAACAACGTATTCGCCACCTTCCCAAAACTCACAAGGGGGAATGTTAACGTCGTTCCACAGCAGCCACACTGACGAGGCTGCCTGCAGATGTGCCTGAAGACATTTTTTAGTGGCCTCATCGGATGTCGATTATCTCAAAATGCCAGAAGATCAGTCCAATTAATCACCCAACGGGTTAATAATAGTCCTCGTGTGTTAAAAATCTGAATCTGAAAAGTATTTAAAGCTGCCAAATGAATGCAGTAGAGTAGAAGTACACAGTAGTACTGAATCAAGATACTCAAGTAAAGTACCTGTTGTATACTAAGTAGCGATGATGTGAAGATGTATTGAAGAGAAGTCCGCTGACACCGTCTTGATTGTATATAAAGGTTTATTACAAAACAGTCCAGCATCAAAACAAGCACTTGAGAGCTTGGAGAACATCCAGCCAAATGAACAACTCTGTCTATTTGCGTCAAACCTAGACTTTTATAGGTCTGTTGTTTTTCAGAAGAAGCATCTATTTCTAATAAATAATATGCTAGAATTGTTGAATGTGAAGGGGGAGGTCAAAGGTCACATATCCTATAACTTTCAGATACCACATACCTCAAAATGGTACTCAAGTACTATATTTGAGTAATTAGTTATTGGATTATTATTATTGATTATCTTTAGGCAGCATTTGTTTTAATACATAAACATACTCTGCTTTAAATACTAATTTGTGTGCAAGTCCAGAATATACAATATGCAAATATTGAAGTTTAACTGCTCAACACAAGATTTCTCCTACCACTCTCAAAGTTTGTGGTGTTCTGGAGGTTTCAAGTTTTAACAAAACACTGGTGTAAGTTGCACATTGAAACATGACTGTCCTCCACAATTTATGCTTGTACGTACACGTCTTAAGTGAGATTTGAGGTGAGAAACGTTCCCGCTTCAGCAGATAAATAGGAAATCAGTCTTCTAGTGTCAGATTCTACACACACTCCAGATTATATCTAACGGTTGCTCTCCACTTAACAATTTGTAAGCAGCTTGATGTCATTGACAAAAACTTGCTGGCTGTTCGTGTGTCTACATGTAAGACTACAGGTGATTGTGCCTTTGTTTTTTTAATGACATGTCACAGTGAGTGATATGTCAGGATGTTTTATGTGCTGTACAACTTTTTTTATTGCTTGTTTTGTGTAAATAACTTTGTAATGTTGGTTTTGAGAAGTGCTTAATAAATAATCTTGTCTATTGTTATTATCCAGTATTATTATTACCTCAGTCAAAATACATTACAAGTACTATGAGAAAAATGTACTTAAAATATAAGTAAAAGTGCTTACTATGGTGTGTAAGTTTATTTAATGGACTGTAATTATATCACAAGTCATTACCATTAACTCGAAAGCAGCATTTTAATTTATCTGACTAATTTATATACGGTTGGATAGTCCTATCTAAGAAAAATATGTTGTTTTATATGTGACATCTTAATCTGCAAACAAACTAGTAACTACAGCTGTCAGATAGATGTAGTTGATTAAAAGTATGATGTTTCCCCCTGAGATGTAGTGGAGTAAAAGTATAAAGTAGCACAAAATGGAAATACTCAAGTAAAATACAAGTAAAAGTACAAGTTCAGTAAATAAACTAAGTTTCATTCTTTAACCAGCTACAGGTACCTTGAGTAAACCCGAAACAGATTTCACCCTTTTTCGCCCTGGTTAAGAAAGCAAGGCAGCGCTTGCATAACCTCAGGTGGCTAAGCAAATTTATTATTTCAGAAATTCTTCTTCACGGCCACAGTATTTCTGAAAACATGACTTGCTGGTCAAATCAAGCAGCTATTCGAATAAAAAGGCCCTCTGTTGAATGTTGTGGTGTGACAGATGTGAATCATCACCAGGCGGTGCAGATCCAGGGCAAAGTGGATCAATAATGGCATTCACCACCCCAACCACAAATAGTTTGAGTAGCTGTCCAAGCCAGCGTCTCTGCCCCATCATGGCCAAGACTAAGAGGCTCAACTCTCAGCACATATCCTGCACATGAGTTGCCCTTTAAAAGCTCACTTGTCCAGACTGCCAACGCACACACTGCATTTTGGTTGCACACTCCAACTTCTTTAACTCGCCACTTATTTCTTATTATGTGACCTGCTCCATCATTTTGAGTCACTTTGACCCAGAAACACATTTTGAGTTTTCTTCATGGCTGTAAAGAGGAAAGTCTCAGCTTTATGGCGATACCAAAATTATTTTTCTACTCCAAAAATTGTATGAGACACGCTCTTCCAAAGGTCGACTGTCACCAAACCTTGTTTTTGAGAAAAAGCGCTCTAAAGATAGCAATCAACATTCCGCCATATTCCAAATGAATTGAAAGACATTTATAGACAGTTTATATTCAAATAAATAAACTTTACTGCTTTACATAATTATAATCAGAGACATTGTATGCTACCATCGGGTCAGCCACCAGTGGAATATCTTCCTCCTGGCCTCCGTCACACTCACTTTCTTCGCCATCACGATCGGAGCCGGCCGGTGTCGGTAGCGCGAAATACCGGAGGTCGAGCCGCCGCTGTCACTCTCACTCTCAGCTGCCGGTGCGGTGAAAAAGTCCGTAATAAGGTCGATCCAGTTGTCGTCTGAAGTAGCATGTCTTACAGGAATTGAATTTAAAAGTTGAGCAATTTCGTCGTCGCGAAAATTAATTTTGTCTAGGCTGTCAATTTGATGTCATTTTGATGGAACGCGTCACTTATTTTCATAACAGTTTCTGTGATTTTGTTATTTTTCCTGCATATAGCTTTATGTTGTTTTTCTTATATTGATATTCTGTTACTTTGCCCTTTGTGCAGCTCAGCTGTCAAGTAGTTATAGTCTCATTTCACTGTTGTTGTACACGTAGATTAATGTGATAAATCTCTTGAATCTTAAAAAGTTTTTGCAATCCACTACATTTATTTAACAGGTATAGTTATTAATTATTCTGTAGATTCTGATACTACATATGAAACATGTAATTATCTTCTAAAATAAATTATCCATTGTTGTGGATTAAATTATGCAACTGCATGTTAATGTTTCCTCCACTCAACAACATGAGCTACTTATTATCTTTACTTCACCCATGGATGGTTCCCTAACACATGCAGAGTTTGCCTGATATAATAATGGGAAATTCCCATTAGACAGATGGTTTTATATTTTTTATAATATTTTTAAGTCTGAAAACATGTCTGAAGGAGATCTTTTTTCACAAACGGCTACAATATGTACACATCTAGGCATTGGCCATAGTTTTTCTCAATTGGTTTGATGCAGAGTTGCTTCAGAGTTGTGTCATACTGGAAAATGAAACGTTAAATCATATCATAGCAAAGCATTTCAGGGATCTTCAGAGCTCATCTAAGAATAACAATCTCTCTTTCTCAGTGACAGTAAGATTGTTTCTAATTAAAGTGTCTGGTTAGAGAAATCATTACGGTCTGTGTGATGTGGATTGTAACTGACAGGCAAGATATGGAGTTGTTTAGCACAAGAAATTAAGGCAGGTTTGAACTTATGATTTGATGCTCTGTGTTGAAAGAAAAAGAAATAAGTTTCTGCTGTCTTAAGTGAGGAGACACCAATATGTGATTGTGTTGGTTGCATGAAGAGATTTGAGAACACAAAACTCTTTAGAGTTGAAATAATTATGAAGATTATTGATCAATTGATAAGTTGCTCAATAGCAACTATTTTTATAATCAGAAATGGCAAGAATACACTTCTTCCTATTTTTAAGGTAATGAAAACAGACCTTCAGGTGATTATACAGAAATTAAAACATACCTATGAATATTATAGATTACTATTTGTTATATATTA